ACATAACTAAATTCGACACAGTCTTACTTCACTCAAACTGAAGCAGCTAACGAAGAAAATACTGAAGTAAAATTCCAACAGACATGAACGTATTGAGTTGTGGACATGACAACAGCATCAAACATTTCGGGAATTTCGGACGCTACATCCGCAAAAATCCTCGCAGCATGTACGCGCTGTACGCGCGTGTGTCCCACATGATGGCGCAATTTGTTCTAAAAATAGAAAAATTGTCCCATATCATAGGGAAGGCGGGAAGTGGCTCCTGGGGGCTCCTGGTAGTAAGTGATTGTGAAAAACTCCCGCCAAAAACCCTCTCCCGCGTGGGAATGGGGCGGGAACGCGACCGAGGCTACGCTGGGGAATACCCCTCATCTGAAAACGAAACTGAAAGTTCTACTGAAACAGGCTACTATTCCTGAAATACAAATGACGGAAGCGGAATTCGAACCTTGCGACGATTGTACTTCATATTGCATTGTTTAAAACTTGAATAAGCTTTCAGCATCGTCAGATTTACTTCAACAAACTCCGTTGACTTATCGACGTGAGTGTGGAATCGACACGATCGCGTTGGTACAGACTCAGTGACAGATTTTAAGTTCTTCAATGTTATGGAGCAGTTGGAATTCCATAGTTTTCTGCTTCATCTTGGCAATGAACTGGAGTCTAACGAATTTGAAGCACTAAAGTTTGTGTTGAAAGGATACGTGACATCCTCGAAATGCGAAGAAATGGTTCAGGTTTTCAAATATTTTGAGGAGATGGAAAGACTGTGTCTTCTGTCACCCAAAAATTTCGTGGTGTTGAAAATTGCGCTTGGATCGATTGGACGTCTTGATCTTGTTGAAAAGATAGAAGGAAAGGAAGAATTCTTTGCCTCACTGTTCAGAGAAACGATTAACAATGACAACAGCTTAGACAGGAAAGGTTTGTATCAAAGATAATATTTTGAGCTCATCTAATGTTTACAATTTCGTTAAGCTGCGCTGTTTACAACAAGTTATAAGCTCACATGCTTACAGTTTTTCACCTCCCTGCATTTGTTTAATTTAGAAATTTTGATTCACGTTGTTGTTGAAATATTCATTCAGAGACCAGTGACTGAAGTCTCTAAACGCTAGTTTCCTAGTTATGATATTGACTTGCACTCTGTTATAAATGGGTGTTGAATAAATAATGCCCTCTAAGGACTATGAAATATAACATTGAGCATGTGTAAGCTTAATTTTATGTTTGTTATCTTTCATTCATTTTTTTTACCTTTCATTTCAGATTGTGACTTGGTTTGTGATGACATTAAAGAGGCAGCTGTACATTTAGCAGACTTTTTTCCACGTAGTGGCCAGAGCACTTCTGAAAGTAAGGAGGAACAGCTTAAAATAGACCATGATGGTAGCTACAAAATATCTTTCATTTCGTGACTTGTGTCTGAAACGAGCTAAACTACATTCCATGCTTTTGACTGATAAAACCTGATATTATGGTCAAATTTTTTTTTCTGTTATCATCATCTAAAAAGATCTGACTGTCTTATTTAGCATTGGCAATTATAAACCCTGAACATGATGTTATAATTCTTTCATTTCAATTTTCCTTGAATAATTTGTGCAGTTCCGGGAAACATCCATCCCAAACCTAAGGAAGATCATGGAAAATTCTGAGGGGCAGGAGGGTTTCAAAAGTCCAAATTTTTAGGGAGAACATCCAGAAGCTGAACAATAATTTGCAAAGGGGTCACTGGGAAAAGAAGAGTGCCTTCCACTAGAGGGGTGCAGGTTTTTTCTGAAACAACATATTAATTAGTAATAGTAATTGGATCAAGTAGAGTACAATTCAGGGAGTAATTGCAAGTAATTTCAAAATCAGATAAGTGCAAAGCACTAGGGTGATTTGAAATTATAAGCATGATTACTCCCTGAATTGTATGACACAAGGTCGAATGGGTCAGTACAAAACAAAAATTGGACCCCTCAATCTGGAGCCCCCTACTGGACCCCCTTTGGACTCCTTCTGGATCCCGGTCCGGATCCCCATTTGGACCACCATCTGGACCCCCACCTGGAGCCCCTATTTTTTCTTCCAGAAAATACGGGCTCCTGATTTAAATAATTTAACTTAGAACATAACACAATGAAGTCTATATAATCATTGAGCAAAATGTGAAGAAATTAATGAATTCACACAGCATTGTGTCTAGAATAATACAATGGCTGCGGCTGCACTATGAGAGTTAACTGGGTTATTTCTAATTAATCAATTACGATTAACCGGATAACCGAAAAATCGTGAGTGGCCGCTATTTTCAACAGTTCATTGAACTTAAACTGGGTTAATGGTTACCATGGAAATTAATTGAAGAACAATTATAGATTTTTAACCGAGTGAGGTTAATTTTAAACTACCTTTCTGCGTGGTCTAACCTAGGTTAGTGGTCTCTTATCAGTGCCATGCATTGGCTTTTTGGTGAGATGTGTCAGTCATCACGGTCTGTACGTGAGATGTTGTTCACAGTGGCACAAACAAGTGCATTATCTTCTACTGACCATGGCAAGTAGTAACAACAGTTTGAAACAGTTGTATTACTTGAACAGATTTCTGGTTTTTTCCTAATATGTGTCGGCTATACCATATCAGTCAAGTTTGCAAGGAACCTTTACGCCTGAACTATGGCTTGAACAAGAAGTGCTCATTCACCTTAGAAGGAGAAATTCTAATCGACCTCTGCAAAGAACACAAGAGTAC